GGCAGGATTTTAGTGTGGTTTCTTCACAGCCTAGGAAAGGCTGGCAGCTGTGTCCCAGCAGGCTGTCCTGGAAGAAAGGTCTCAAAACCCAGAGCTGAGCTGGAGCAGGCATCACTGTACCGCATAATGCTGTGCACTTTGAGTTGGCCCAGGAAATAACACAATGCTGCAACTCAGAGCCCTCTAACATGCCTTTGCAGATCTTCTCTGTTACCTCTTTGAGAAGCATTTGTGTCTGTGCATCTACTGTTTTACTGATCAGAACAGTGACAAAGCAGCCAGGGGAACTGAGACAAGGGTGGAAAATGACTGCAGGCATTGTATTAAAATATTCAGCTTGTCCAGCTGAAAGAGATTTTTGCCAAACGATTGTATAAGGAATGAGGCATTTTACAGGAAAAGTAGGGCCTCTCCTCTCATTTCCTTTCCCTTCTCCTCTATGAACTTCAAAGGAAAGAAGGGTCAAAACAGAGGCCAGGCAACTGGAACTGAATTCCTGAGCCCTAAGGCCTAATTAGTCCAAGATACATTTCACTGGGTATCTTTCAGAGACTGGCCCAAATTACCAATCTTCCCTGCTGTGCTGGTGAGGGTCAGATGAAGCCAGAGTGTGGTCCACTGTTTGCAGGGCCCCAGCATCACCAGAGCTCTTGGGGGGAGGGGGAAGTGTTTCAGTTCAAGCCACACAGACGCAAGGCTCTGCCAGCCCCCTCCAGGCTTTCTGTGGCCATAAGAAAAACCCCCTCTTCAGGACAGAGAATGTCTCCACGACTAAAACCCCCTCTCTCCAATGTCCCTACTTCCCTGGTGCTTTGCCCCAGAGCTGCTGGTGGCTGCAGCTGACTAACAGCCCCAGAGCTAGGGGGCTGCTGCCCCTTCTTGAGTCAGCTGAGGCTATCAAAGAGCCTTCAGCCATTTGGAATTACCCTTCCAGCAATTATAGGCTGATATTAAACCCCTCTCTGCCTCACCTCATCCAGGCAAGCCAAGCCCAGCTCCTGCCAGCAGACCACGTGCTCCATGCCCTTTCCTGCCTTGCAGCTGTTTTGCTGGTCCCCCTCCAACTTCTCCACATCCTTCCCTACTGGGTACCCAGAAAAAGGGATGTCCTTTAGTCTGTGCCTCCTCACGTGGCCCAGCATGTGGTTTGCCTCACCAGCAATGACAAGTAAAACTTGGTTTTGCACACAGGTTTAACAACTCTCTGGAACCACAAATCAATCTAAATTCACGGGTCTCTCCCTGTGAGACACGCTGGTCTTGGGGTGGGGTTTTTCTTTAGGGATGCACAAAAAGTATTCTCAAGAACTGAGAAACAGAAACCACACAGGCTGCTTCCCCTGCACAGCCTCTCTCGAGGCTGGCCTCAGAGAGGGGTGCATCTTATTTTGAAGTCTCAAAATAAGTGCAGTAAATGCACTTTGACAGAAGGAATAATTTCCGCCTCGTGGCCTAAAAGCTGAGAAAAGTCAAACTGCAGATCACCAGAGTAATTCAGAGAGCAGGGAAAGGACATCATTGTTACTGTAAGCTTATGCGGCCTCCTGATGCCATAGCACAGCTCTGGAGCATAGCAAACAAGCCTTGCAGCTTGTGGGGCAGCAGACAGCTGCACGTGAAGAGAGATATCTGACTGGTGGGGAATGTGATGTCCACACGGATGTGGGGTGGGCTGTGATTCTGCATCCCATCTGCTTCACGGATCCTGCTTCACAGCCAGTGCAGACGGCTGACCGGGCTGGCAAAAGGCCCACCTCACTTCTGGTGCTCAAGCTGCTCTCCCAGAGAAGCAAAAGAGCAGGGGCATGAAGGAGGGAAAAGCAGGAAATTGACTACTTTTGAATCAGGAAGTATTAAATAAATATTTTATTAAATTTTCTGCCAGAAAGAAAGGTAAACATATCACCTTAAAAATTATGATTCCAAGGTGCTGGCTCACCTTCCATCTGAACAATGGGCCTGGGACCAGCTCCAGTGTACTGCAGATAACTGTGCTGCCTAACTGCATCAAGACTGTTTATATCCCTTTGCATCCACTTCCTAATGGAGCCAAAATATATAATGGAAACCTCTCCTTCCCTTATGTAATGCTCTGCCAGAACTGGCATCCTGTGAGTGTTGGCTGGAAGGATCTCTGGAGGTCTCCAGACACTGGACTGCTGCCAGCACCAGATGAGATTGGATGTAGCTGTGTCTAACCTTAAAGTCTAAGTCTGATTCTTGTGTGCTTGCATGGCACTGGGATTCTTTTCTCAGATGGAGAGCACAGGAAAGTTTACCTGGGGTGTCCACCTCCCTTGATCAGGGAAGGAGGGCCACAAGGGCTAGGTAAACCAGCATACAGTCCAGTCTGTTAGCAGGTTCCTGTGCTGAATTCACCTCTCAGAAAAATCCCATCCTGAGGACTGGGACAGTTCAGGACCAGATAACCTGTTGGTTTTTCCTGCTAGAGGCCATTAACACTGGAGGGAGAGCAGCAAGAGAGCACCAGTTGAATTTACTGAGGAATTGAGCCAGATTCCTATGTGTTGCCAGCACAAAAATAGCTGCCATCTTTAGATTTTATAGCTTTTCTTTGTTAGGGTCTGGATCAGACTTGTTTTCAAAACAACCTTCAAACAATACAAATATACCTGTCATTGAAATAAACCTGGAACAATTAAACAACACTTCCCGAAGTAATCCCTGCATCTCTGTAAAAGCAGTTCAAAAAATTAGTTGGGATCACAGAGAGGAAACAACAGAATGCAGAATGTTAGCCATGTACTTCACTCACTGTTTTTTCAACTTCATGCTATTGGATTACTTTCTTAAGTACTCTGGGGACAGAGACAGCAAAGAACAGCTTTCCTTGGCAAAGGGAGGAAGTTTCTCACACACCGCTGTATTTTCCATGGCTCATCTAGCAAAATGCACACGCCTGAAAAAACAGCAGGAAAAAGTCCATCCAAGAAGGGGCCAATACCGTGGATTCCACATCCCCATGTACTGGAAGTCTAGCTCTGGTATCAGGCTGGGTGGTAGCACTGGATCACTGGGTGCAGGTGGGAAGTGCTGCATGCCAGAAAGCCATGAGCCACATGATCTTGGTGCTGCCCAGGGAACAAAGGGCCTCTCTTCCTGACAAAGAAGCTGATGTGCACCAGGAGGGTCACAGTGGCTTTTATACATCTTGTAGCACTAACCAGGGTAACTCAGTCAGAGTCCAAGCAGGACACATGGACTGCCAGAGCCACCTTAAGTGTGTTTCAAGGAGAGTTGTCTTCTCATGCTCACCCCGGCAGCACTGAAGTAAATGGGCCAGTAGACTGAAATAAATGGGCAGGAGATCTTTCTCCTTTTTAATGCCTTTATTAAAGAGATTCAGCTCAGGTGGGGAGAAATCCACGGGTTGCGCCCACGCCGCCGCTGTCCCCAAGAGTGGCACGGAGGAGGAGGGTGATGCAGCTCTGTCCGCTGGTCTGCAGGCAGAGCTGGGGACTGAGTCCTCATGAGAGATTAGCAGATTCCTACTTTTCGGTCCAACACTTCGGGTCCCCTCCCTAGTGAACATTTTTTGAGCTCAGAGTGAGAAGCAAAAAGGATTCAAGCAGGCACTGGACTACGCGCCCATCCTTAGACATCACCTACGTCCCCTAATTCTATGTTGGCTCATTATTTTTAGGGGTTTTCCTGGAGAACGGGAAGATTTGGAACAGTGCATTTCTCATCTGCATACGTGGTCTCAGGCCACTCCTATTTTCCTGATGCTGCGTGTCCAGGTGTTGCTCCCGGGCAAGCATCAGGAGGACAATGGCTAATCACCAACCATTAACGGGCAATTGAAGAAGAACTCTTAACAATGAAGCTAACTTAACAGCAACCGGTTTTAGCTTTGTAACCTTAAACAAAAATAGATAACCTTTTATTCATAACATAGACTATAATTTTTCCAATTCTTAGTCCATAATTAGAGCAACCAAGACATGATATTAATTTCCCTACTTATATTGCTTTGTGCACTGTCATTCTTTCATACATGACCACACTCTTGAGATGCAGAGCTCACAGTGGCTTTTTAAGGCTTGCAAACTGCAAGTAACACCCTGGACTTGCACCTGCAAACCTGCACGTGCAAAGCAACACGTGGCCAAGGAACTGCTTTTTCATTGTGTCTTGGCCAGAATGCCTGACCTGCAGCCCGCCATGCCTGTGTCACCACAGGGAATCTTCTGAGATGCCTATCAATGAACAACAGTGGGCGGAATCACAGAATCATTTAGGTTGGAAAAAACTTCTGAGATCATTGAGTCCAACCTGTGAACAAACACCACCTTGTCAACCAGACCACAGCACTAAGCCACGTCCAGTTTTTCCTTAAACCCCTTCAGGGACAGCGACTCCACCACCTTCCTGGGAAGCCTATTCCAATGCCCAAAATCACCCTTTCTTTGAAGAAATTCTTCTTGATGTCTGACCTGACCATCTTCCGGTGTAGCCTGAGGCACCATGTCCTCTTGTTCTGTCACCATCTACCTGGAAGAAGCCAATCCCCACCGGCCTATACCCTCTTTTCAGGGATGAGCAGTGAGTGATATGGGCACTACTGAGCCTCCTTTTCCCCCGGCTCAACACCCCTAGCTCCCTCAGCCACTCCTCCTAAGGCTTGTGCTCCACACCCTTCAGCAGCTCTACTGCTCTCTGGCATCGCAGTGCCCTTCCTGCCTTGGGGGGCCCAGAACGACCCGGCACTCGCGCTCTGCCCTCAGCAGCGCCAGTGCAGGGCACCATCATCCCGGCTCCTGCCGGTCACGCTGCTGCTGATGCAGGCCAGCTCGGCCACGCGGGATCAGCGCAACCTCCCGCGGGCAGGCCGGCCCTGCGCTGCTGCCCCTCCGCCGCCGGGGGGCGCGCCAGCCCCGCCTCTGCGCCGGGAGAGGCTGTCCGGGCCGGTGACGTCACCACGCTAGGGGCGGGGCGGGGCGGGCGCGCTCCTTATTTACCGCAGGCGGGGGACGGGAAGAGGAAATCGCCCTCGGAGCCGAGGCAGAAGGCCTGGCGGAAGGCCTGGCGGCGGCGGCGGCGGCGGCGACGGCAACGACATCACCACCACCACCACCACCACCACACCACCTAGACCACTACTACTGCTAGCGGCAGCTCCAGCAGCAGCGGCGCCTCAAGATGTCCATCGAAATCGAGTCCTCAGAGTAAGTGTAGTGGTGGCGCGGGGTGGCGGCGAAGTGGTGGTGCGGCCCTGGCGACCGGGGGAGCGGGGAGGGAGCGGCTTGGCGGCCCCGGGCCTGAGCCAGGCCCCAGCGACGCGGGGGGAGGGAGGCGAGAGCCGGCGGTCTCGGCGGCCCCGCGGCCGTGAGGGGGCCGAGGGTTGCGGGCGGGGAGCGCGGTCCGCGTGTCCGGGGCTGACCGAGCGTTGTGTCCCGCCCGCAGCGTGATCCGGCTGATCATGCAGTACCTGAAGGAAAACAGCCTCCACCGGGCGCTCGCCACCCTTCAAGAGGAGACCACCGTGTCCCTCAACACCGTGGACAGCATCGAGAGTTTCGTGGCGGACATCAACAGTGGGCACTGGGACACGGTGCTGCAGGCCATTCAGTCTCTGAAGCTGCCCGACAAGACCCTCATCGATCTCTATGAGCAGGTGAGCAAGCGCAGGGCTCCTGCGGGCTCTTGTGGTCCCTGTGGAAACCTCTGTGCGGTGTTTTCCACTGAATCTTTGCTGATGCAGACGTTTGTCTCTGTGTGCAGGTTGTGCTGGAGTTGATCGAGCTCAGAGAGCTGGGTGCTGCGAGATCTCTGCTGAGGCAAACGGATCCCATGATCATGCTGAAACAAACTCAGCCAGAGCGCTACATCCACCTCGAAAACCTTCTGGCCAGGTCTTACTTTGATCCTCGTGAGGTACGTTAACCCTTTCTTTAGAGAGCTCTCCGGCATGAGCGTCGGCATCATTGCAAGCTGCTGATGGCTCACGGCTTTGGGTTTTTCCCTTGGCTTGGGGAGTGGGAACGTGCAGTTCAGTTTGATGGTTTTACACCTTCTGTGGGGTGTTTGGGAAGTAGTGCATGACGCAGTGCATCAGGAGGGAGCAAACCGGTGCTGCATTTGGGAGTTTGGGGCTTTGGCCCTGTGTCGTGCCACAGAATGTCATCTGCAGTTTGCCTTTTCAGTGTTAAATAGGCAGCAGAAGAAAGCACAAGTTGTGTGAACAGAAATAGTGCTGTGTAATAACAGTATAAAAACAAGGCATTTTTTCTGACTGGTTACATCAGTCTAACGGTTTCTGGGAGAGCATGTTAGGTTAGCTAACTTAAGGGACTGATTTTAGAGATCTTTTCCAGCCCTGACGATTGTTTGCTTTTAAGATTGGTATTAAAGATAAGAGCTCTTTTGGAGGTCTAACAGAAAACTTAGTTGGAAGGGGTTTTAATTTCAGAAAAACAGAGGTCTTTTTGGGGAAAAAAATTGTTTAGAACAATAATCTCATGAAAATAACTTTTCTCTAGGCGTACCCAGATGGGAGCAGCAAAGAGAAGCGGAGAGCTGCTATTGCACAAGCTTTGGCTGGAGAAGTCAGTGTGGTGCCTCCATCTCGTCTCATGGCACTGTTGGGGCAGGTGAGTCTTGAAGGATGTTTTAGCTGCTATGTTTTCAGCTTGCTGCTGCATGAAATTAGTGGTGATGTAGTTGAGCCGCAAGCTGTATAAAGTTTAAACGTAGTATAGTTTAAAACAATTGTCCCATATAGCAAGGGTTTAGCAGTTGTAGAAAAAGTCATCATTCTAGCAGTAGATTTTTTCCAGTAGACTAAATATGCAACACAGTCTGCACTTTGAGAATAACCATCCGTTTCACACGTTTTCTGGTGTGTTTTCAGCCCTCTCTGATTCTAAGAATACTCCGTGCAGTGTTTCTGCGTGGTAGGTCTGTGTTAACTGGCAGCTAACGGTGTGGCTTTCATCTCCTCCAAAGGCACTGAAATGGCAGCAGCACCAGGGCCTGCTTCCTCCCGGTATGACAATTGACTTGTTCAGAGGCAAAGCAGCTGTGAAAGACGTAGAAGAAGAAAAGTTCCCCACGCAGCTGAGCAGGCATATTAAGGTAATGTTTGCTTTTGTGTGTTTCTGCTGCTCTTTTCTTCCCGTGTTTAATGTTGGGAGATAAGGGGAAATCTTACTAATGTTTTTTTTTCCCTTGTTATAAGTAGTTCCCCTCCCGCCCCCCCACCAGTGTGTTTTCCTCCCTTTTGTCTGCGTTTTCTTATCTTCTGGGAGTCCGAGCTTAGGTATTTTAACAAGATTGGGTGCTTATGGTATTTGTGATTAAGATAACGGCATCTTTGACTTCACAGTTCAGAATCGATCATTTTAGAGGAATTGGCATAGTCCTCTTTATTTCTGTGAGGCAGTACTTGGGTCTTAAACTGTTTTTCAGAAGCCATAAGCTTCAGCTTATGAAATCAGTTTGTGATCTTCAGTAACAACTTGCTAAAAATGCTTTCTTAGAACTTGTTTTGTTTGTCATTGCTGATTTTGTATTTTTGTTTAGGCTAGTGAAGTATTTTTTCTGTACTTAGTTGTCATGGCCACTTTTATTTAAAAATTTAGAAATCAGAAAATTGGACACTGAAAAAAAACAAAACAAACGTTCTCTGTAAAAATTACACTGGAGAAACATTACTCCAAATGAAGCAACTTCAGAAATTTGTTAAGTTCTGAAGTCTACTTGTGATATAAATTAGGTATTGAAAAGGTCTTTGTTAACAGAATATCCTGCAAAAACAAAAATACAAAGAAACCAACTTGGCTTGTGATGTGACCATGCAAGGTCTGTTGTAACACTGGAGATTGCAAGACCAAAAGGAGGTTTTTTTTTTTTTTTGTTTTACCATTTTTTAAAAAAAGTTCAATTCTCTGTGTATTGACATTTTTTGTACTTCAGCATTAAATGTGTGTGTACATAGCTCTAGAAGATACTGTATTTTTACCATCAGAATGATAGTACAGTTTTGTTTTAATGAATTGAGTCTTTTAAATGGCTTATTAATCTTTACTTATATTCTTTTTTAAACAGTTTGGGCAGAAGTCACATGTGGAGTGTGCTCGGTTTTCTCCAGATGGACAGTATCTGGTTACTGGCTCAGTTGATGGCTTCATTGAAGTATGGAACTTCACTACTGGAAAGATTAGGAAGGTAAGTTACTCCTTATTTCACACAGAGTGACTTAGACATGCCAGAGTGCCTGGATCTATTCTTGGAGATAGTTTTAATTTCTTGGGAACTGTGAACCTGAGGAGATTGTCTGTTTAGGTTCTGTAAATATCAGTCTGGAACAGTTATGTGGGTGTCGTTGTCTGGTTTGTCATAGATTTCTCTCTGATAACTTCTTTACCTTCCTGCACTCTTCTTGTTGCTGCTAAAATGGTGATAGTGGTAGTACTCTGTATTACAAGGCTATGGAGTCTGATTTGCAGTAAGTTATAAAACATAACTGAAGTTAAAACTGCTAATACTTTTGCACTTTGCTTTAAAATAGACTTCATTGGTTTCACTATTATTGACCCATGACTCTTCTGCTTTTGTTTAGGATCTGAAGTATCAGGCACAAGATAACTTCATGATGATGGATGATGCAGTGCTGTGCATGTGCTTCAGTAGAGATACAGAGATGCTAGCAACTGGAGCACAGGATGGAAAGATCAAGGTACTAATCTTTTTGTTTGTACTGTAGTTGGGAGAGGTGGTGACCAGAAAGATCAGTTTGCTAAAGCAGTAATGTTCCCGTTCTGTATAAACTCAAAGGCAATTTAACATGTATTTAACATATGTATTGGCTCTGATGTTTAAGCTCATGTGTTGTCACAACAAAGTAATCACTTATTTGCTGTTTCCTTTTCAGGTGTGGAAAATCCAGAGTGGTCAGTGTCTGAGAAGATTTGAACGAGCTCACAGTAAAGGTGTTACGTGCCTCAGTTTCTCTAAAGACAGCAGTCAAATTCTGAGTGCTTCTTTCGATCAAACAATCAGGTAAACAAACTGAGAATGTGTGAGCTACAGTGTGGGAGAAAAGAAAGCAGGCTTTTCTAATGAAGCAGTTCAACTATAAGATAGTGTAATCTAGAAGGTGTCTGTGGAGGTCTCTAGTCCATGCTTCTCAAAGCACAGCCAGCCTTGCAGTTAGGACAGCCTATTCAGGGCCTTGTCCAGCTGTGTTTTCAGAATCCCCAGGGTTCGAGATGCCACTCTTGGGGAAAATCGTCTTTGGGTGTAGGGAAGGATGTTTTGGGTTGGTCTGATTATGCTTGTTTGTTTTTTTGTTTGGTTGGAGTTTTTGGTGGGGAGGTATTTTTTAATATCCCTTGCCATTTGTACTTCAGCTGTACACCTTCTGAGGAGTCTAACTATATTTATTCTGAAGACATATTGGCTAGTAGTGTTAACCCAATAGTTAATTTTTTTTTTAGGTGTTAAAATTATTTAGGGTGAATATATCTTCCTTTCTCCTTTCCTCTTTCTCCTGTCTTTATTTTCTCTTTCCTCTTATTTTTTTCCTAAGGATCATTGCAGGATAGGTTAGAAGTGAGTATATTTATACTCAGAAAAATACTCAAACACTGTTCTAATCTTAATAGGCAAGAGGATCCTCACCAAACCCCTTTTCCTACAGTTATTAGCATCTGGGAAGTGTTGATTACTGTTTGTGTAATGCAAAATTCTGATCCTGCACCTGCTTGGTTACTGAGTGGAATTTGTTTACTCATTTCCACTTCTGTTGTCTTACAGGATTCATGGTTTAAAATCTGGGAAAACCCTGAAGGAATTCCGTGGTCATTCTTCCTTTGTCAATGAAGCTACTTTTACCCAGGATGGCCACTATATTATCAGTGCATCCTCCGATGGCACAGTGAAGGTAAGATGGCATTTACCCATTGTAAAGAACACCTTCCGACTCCTGCTAACATTTCGCTCCTTTGTTACAATTGTTGCAGTCCTTGGAGAAGGACTCAGGGTAATCTGCAGTAATGAGTGTGCTTCTGACTGCTGTAGATTTGAGTGAGAAGTGGTGAAATCTGTTACTCTACTCACAGTCCCTTGCAGAGCAGGTCTCTGCTGCATTCATGAATGGAGACATAAGTGCAGTGCTTACTGCCTGTTCTGCTTTATTCTAAACTCAGAACTGACTGACTCTTCTTGTCCTGTGGTGTGGAGATTCCCTTATCTGAAATAATTGCATATCAGCTCTTTATTTTAATTTTTTAAAGCTAATTTGTTTTATTTTATTTTTACATTTTAGGTTTGGAATGTGAAGACAACAGAGTGCTCCAACACCTTCAAGTCTCTTGGTAGCACTGCGGGGACAGACATTACTGTGAACAGTGTCATTCTGCTGCCTAAAAACCCAGAACACTTTGTTGTTTGCAACAGATCGAACACAGTCGTCATCATGAATATGCAAGGACAAGTATGTGATCTTACTGGTGTCCTTTCAGGTCACTCTGTCATTTCAAGAATGTAGAAAACCTAGTTAATAACTTAGCAGGGTTAAACCTGATTTCTCTAGTTTGCTTGCATGACAAACTGTTCTGAACTCAAGTTTATAGAATGCAGAAAGCTCTTGAAGCTATAGAGAGATCTGTGTTGTGAACAGACCTAGTACTTCTTAAATATTTTTACCCTGATAAAAATGATATTGATAATGCTGCCATTTAATCCTGCTGTTTAAATGGTTTTTTTTTTGGATGTGTCTTTACAGATTGTAAGAAGTTTTAGCTCTGGTAAGAGAGAAGGTGGTGACTTTGTCTGCTGTGCACTTTCACCTCGTGGTGAATGGATCTACTGTGTTGGTGAAGATTTTGTGCTGTACTGCTTCAGCACAGTGACGGGCAAGCTGGAGAGAACTCTGACTGTAAGTATTCAGCTCTGAGCTTTTCCAGAGTTTTAACTATGGGGATGATGTCAATGTTCATTATGAACGCCATTCTCAAACTAAGCAATCTTTTGTCTCTAGGAAACATGATTGGTAACAAATGAATTCCAGGAATTTAGCCATAGAATGTGTTTGGGGTTTTTAGAACTATTTAATTGTAGAAATTGGGAAAGTATTTACCCCTCAAGCAAAGGTTGAATTGGTTCAGACTTCCTTAAATGAGACCATATTTTGTCATGGGCTCTAGCTGGTAGAGAACCTGAAAGAGGCATCAGATTTAAAGATGTCGAGTTTTAAATTTGCTTTAGATTGAGTTTAAAGAGGAATACCAGTTTGAATGTCTAAATTTAGTGGGGAATACTTTGTTGTGGACTTCAGTGGATGTAGACCTTCACTGAACATTCCCTTGCCCAACAAAAAGTAACTGCCGTGTCACAGAAATTGTTGTGACTGGAATTGAATGTTGGTGTGTGTACCTGTGCTTTTGCTCTACTCTCAGTCCAGCTTTCCTTCACTTGTTTTTTGAAGAGATTTTTGTCTTGAATGTGCTGAAGGAACACTCTCTTAATGTATCTTTCTGCTTACTCTCTAGGTCCATGAAAAAGATGTCATTGGCATTGCTCATCACCCCCACCAGAACCTGATTGCCACTTACAGTGAAGATGGCCTCCTCAAGCTCTGGAAACCATAGATTGATTTTGCAGCAAGCTCTGAAGCATGCCTGTTAGTTGCAGGTTACTAGTGTTTGTGCTTTGGCAAGGTCTAAATATGCAGAGTGTGATACTTGCTCAATTTTCAGTTCAGGTTTCCAGAGAATTACATTTTTACCTACCTAGAGTGGATTGATGCATAAGTATAGCATCAGCTAATTTCATATACTTTTATTTTTACTAGAGTAGTTGAAGCAACTTCAGTGAGAATGCTTTTTTTGCCTCCTGAAGTCTGTACTCTTCCTACAATGTTTGTAAAAATTCATTGAGCCAGCAGCTGTACACGCTTATGAGTGGTTGCTGACTTCCTGGAATACAGTAAAATTCTTCTTTTTCTTTTTTTTTTTTTTTTTCTTTTTTAAGCAAAATGTGGAATGGAAAGCTGTCTCTTTCCCACTGCTGAAACAGGAATAGTTTCCTGGAATGCAGATGAGGATACAGTATCATCAGCTTGAAGATGGGGTTATTTCTATGCCACTGGGCTTTGCTGTGTTCATTTTTCCAATTATATTGGAAAGTAGTGTCACACAGCTGCCTCAGAATTAAACTACCCTTCCCCATCTGCCAGCACTTCCTACTATAGACTGTGAACCTGCCTAATGTGGCAGTGAGATACAGTTGATTTTATTTGGGGATTTTTGTTTTGTTTGTTATTTTGTTTTACTTCACTTCCATACTAAAAGGAGTTATTACCGGGGCCCTCTTCCTATAAGTGCAAAATGTTTTCAGACCAGCTGTAACTGAAACAGGCTCCAGGGGATCAATATTTTAAAACATGCAAAAGTTGCATGTTTACATAGGCTGAGTTCCTAGTGCTGTGATAATGCTTTAAATAAGTATTTTTAAGATTTTTTTTTTTAAATTTCATTTGCCTGTGGACCTAGCTGAGGTTATGCTTAGGGGTCCCACAAGATGATAAAAAGATACTTGCAAGCTCTTCAATTTGAAGCACATGATTTTTTGTTGAAAGATTCTGACTAATGTACACTATTCTGAATGTACACCAGCGTCTTCTAAAGTGTGTGTCTTGTCTAGGATGCAGAAAAATGAGGTTTTTCCTGTAATGATGAATCAAATGCATGTGGATTTAAATCTGCTACATTGTGTTCTGTCTTAGATGATCTCTTGTAGAATGCTTCCTACTGCAAGTAATCTTTCAGGCAGTAATAACTTGTCTTCAACTTAATAAATTAGTTCCACTTTAAGTATTTTGTCTGTGTCTTCAGTGGTGTGGGAAAATGTAGAAAAAGCTCAGCTGGAATTCTCCCACAGCATCTTTGCTGCAAGTGTGGGGTTCAATTCTGTTGAGCTGTGATGTCTGAATCCCCAGGCTGTTTTTTATTTCCATAGATATGCTAACAGAGGGGGTTTTTAAATACTAAAAAGTGGTTATTTTTCCTGCCTGAAAAACCAGAAGTATCTGTCAGTGGTACCTGACAAGCTCCATGGGCAGTTATTAATTCTGTTTAGGGGGAACATCTTGACAAAATATTTTTAATAGTACTTTCCTTATAGAAGAGAGGCTCCCATTCCTTCAACATCTTTGTGACCCTTGACTGGTCCCCCTCCAGTACAACTCTGTCTCTTTTCTATGGGAAGACCCAAAACCAGATGTAACATTCCAGGTTGTTGCAGTTCATTCTTGAGGGGGGGGGCATCCCGGGGATGTCCCCGGAGGGCCCCCTAGGCTGTGAGCTGGCTGGCAGCAGCAGGCAGGCAAGGAGACTCCACACGGCTTCTGAGGGTGCTGATCAGATGAAGGTTTATTTGGGGGCCCGGCCCCGGGTACAGCATGGCTACTGAGGGAAAAGGGGGGAAGGGGGAGGGAGGGGGAGCCTCAGGGAGGGAAGGGGCAAGAGAGGGGAAAGGCTAAGAGAGCAGAAGTGCTAAGAGCCCAACTGATTTCACAAGAACAGCTTAAGAGGGGAATTGAAGTGTGCGCAGAATCAGACTTGGGCCGATGGGATGACAGATACAGGATGGTTCAGGGCAGGACCACAGGCTTAAAATATACCATACATTTCGGAGGGGTGAGACAGCGTACCATTTCAAGAAAATGCAATACTACACCAGGTGTGTCCTCATTTTTGCTGAGTAGCTGGGAAGGATTGCCTCCCTCCACTGCTGTCAACCAGGACACCATTTGCCTTCTTTCCAAAAAGATGGCTCAGGCTGAGCTTGGTGTCCACCAGGACCCTCAGCTTACCTCTTGGCTGTTTTCCAGCCAAGTGCCCCAGCATGTGCTGTTGCATTGGGGTGCTCTTCCCCAGGTGCAGCACTTTGCACTTCCCCTTGAATTTAATTATGTTCCTGCCAGCTCATCCCTCTGGTTGGCAACTCTGTTTTATCAGCTACTTCTCCCTCCTCAGTGCCATATGCAGACTTGCTGAGGCAGTACTGACCCTGGGCCACTGCCCTCCTAGTGCACTTGGTTGCACTCATCACCACCCTCTGGGCCTGGCATTCAGCTGGTTTTCAATCCACTTCACTTTTCACCTGTCCCATACCCCAACACCTTCTCTGCATGGATTGAATGGAAGACATTGCCTTACAGAAGTCCAGGGTCACAATAGCCACTTCCCTCCTGTTGTGCGCCATGTCAGTTGCTCCATTGTAAAATGTACCAGGTCGGTTAAGCATGACATTTCCTTTGGTGAATCCCTCCTGGCAACTTTGGATGGTTTTCCTGCTCTTGAAGTGCCTGCAAATGGTTTCTGTTTAGCTCCACCCTTACCTTCTACGGGAGTGAGGTGAGGTTGACCATTTCTTTGGATCCCCCTATCTTGCCCTTCTCAAAGACAGTTGTGACATTCACTTTCCACCAGGTTTTGGGCACTTTTCCCAGTCAGCATGATCAATCAAAGATTGTCCAGAGGGGCCTTGCAATGACATCTGTCAACCCAGAGCATGTGTGGATGTGTCCTATTAGGGCCCATGGTTCTGTGTATGTTTAGTTTTCTCTGAGCTCATCATCCTTACACAAAGGGAACATCCTCCTTGGTCCAGACTTTCCCCTTGATCTCTGGAATTCTGAGAGCTTATGTTGTCACTAGATAAGACTGAGGCAAAGAAGGTACTCAGCACCCCAACATTTTCCATGTCTTGTATGACCAGATGCCATATCTAATTCTGTAATGACCCCACATTTTCCCTGCCCTTTCCCACTTTTGTACTTATAGAGGCTCTTGCTATCCAGTTAAGCTTTATCTTCCATAACTTCATCTCTGGATGCCCACACATCACATCTGTGTTCCTCCCAATATACCCGCACTTGGTTATACCCTCCAGATAACTCCTTTTTGTGTTCTAGTTTAGCCAGGAGTTCCTTGTGCATCCCCACAGACCTCCTGGCCATTTTTTCTGGCTTGCTGTTCACTGGGATGGACTGCTCTCAAGCCTGGGGGAGGTGAGCCTTGAATATTAATTAACTTTCTTGGGCTCTTCATTCCACAGCCTTATCCTTTGGAGTGCTTCTAAGAGATTAGTCTGCTTTTCTGAAGTCCGGAGTTGGGGACTGGCTTTTCATCCTAGTTCTTCCTCTCAGTCTCCTGAACTTCACCATCTTGTGGTCACTGCAGCCAAGGCTGCCTTTGACCTTGACAGTCCCAACAAGCTCTTTGGTTTTGAGTACAAGATCTAGAGCACCTCTCCTAGTTGCTTCCACTATCAATTGTGTCAGGAAGTTCTCATCAATGTACTCCATGAACTCCTGGATTTATTATCACAGAATTAAGAGTTGGAAGGAACTGCTGGAGGTCTAATCCAACCCCCTCCCAAGGCAGGGTCACTTAGAGCAGGTGGCTTTTGAATATCTCCAGAGAGGAGGAGTCCATGTCCAGTTCCAGTGCTCTGCCACCCTCAAAAGAAGTTCTTGCTCACGTTGAGGTGACCTCAGTCACTCCTCATATGGCTTCCCCTCAAGGCCCTTCATCATCTTAGCTGCCTTCATTTGGATGCTCTGTATTGGCCTGATGCCTTTCTTAGACTGTGGCACCCATGGGACTTGAAGTGGGGCCACTCCAGTGCAGAGCAGGACAAGCCTCTCCCTTGCCCAGCTGGTGATGCTGTGCCTGGTGCACTCCAGGACAGAATTGATCCTCCTGGCTGCCAGGGCACACTGGACATTTCTCACTCACAAACTCCCAGTTGGTTAATTTGTCCCTGGGTAGAGCTTGCTACATTCCAGTTCCTCTCTCACATAAAGAGAAACTCCACCACCTTGCTTCTCTGACAGTTCTCTGTTCTTTATAAAAAGGACATAACCATCCATGACTATTCCAGTCACGTGAGCTATCCCACTGTGTCTCAGCACTGCAGCGAGATCATGGCCCTGTGAATGCATATATACATCTAGTTCTTCTTCATTCTCCATGCTGCATCTTTTTGTATACTGACACTTCATGGATAATCAAAGAATGAGGTTTCCTAGAAGGGATGTGAGAGGATTCACCATAGCCATAAGCATATGTTTTGTGTTTTGATCCTCAACTTCAGGGGCAGCAAAGGAACATCTGACTCTGCAGTGGTTGCTATGACCTGCTCCCCAAGAGGAAGCAATGGCACAATTGTTGGCATTTGCACCCTGACTCCCAGTCCTTCGGTTTAAAGTCCATCTCACCAGACTGGCCAGCCTGCTGCCAAAGGCTCTCTGCCCTTTTTAGCTGGGGGATCCCATTCCCTGTAATATCTAAAAATTATAAAAACACAACCCACTGTTATAAAAGCCAAAACCTTCTTGATAGCACCAGCCACAAACCCAGACATTGACCGGCACAATGTGTCTGCTGTCCTGATTTCTCTAGCAGGGAAGACAGGTAAGGAGATTATTTGGGCACAGGGATGACTTGTGATATTTTTCACCTGCCTCAACAGGGCTTTATAAAAGTCTTCTTTGATCCCACCTATTTTTTGGCTTGTGACATTATTTGTGTCCATATGAAAAAGTGATGTGGGTAGTGGTCTAAGACAGGTCTGGGTACCCTTTTGCAACACCATGGATCCCAGCTCCTGGAGGGCAGGATGCCCCTTGTGACTGTCTATTAGGCTGGCAAATAGACAACTGAGTCCCCACTACAACCATATCATCTGTAATCTGTATCATTATGATGCACTGCTGCTGAGGTTCCCTTTGTTGGCCGTGCTCATGGACATCTAAAGCCTTTAAAGCATCAGATCTGTATTTCTGGTCTGCAAGTTGGAGTAGAGATTGAATTGGAGATTGGAGCCCTGCTTTTGTGGGTCCCCAGGGTGCAAGGTGCCTCAGGCTCAGTGGTATCCACTGCAGGTGTGTGGTTCTGAACCCACTTAGCTATCTCTGCTTTAGCCCCTCTATATACAGCACAGCCACCTGTCTCTTGTCATTCAGCCACCTGTTGCAGCTGGTCATCCACCTGTGCACGCTTTGTGCAGGTACCAGCCTTTCCTTCAGAAGAATCTGGGCATCCGTGGAAACGTAGTGCCTGTACTGACACCTGCCTTACCAGTTCTGTCTGTGTGGAAGCATCAGGCTTCTCAGGGCTGTCTCAGCAGACACACTGGCTTTGGCTCAGGAATGCCTGCCATTATGGCAGAGACCTAAAGCACTTAGCACTTATCTGAGATGTGGATCTACTTTTATTATTATTATGTTTTCCTGACAGCAGTTAACAGGGTCGTTGAAGTCCCATTCTTTGGGCACTGTAACAGTGCTCATTTTACTCCCTAACAAAACAGTAAGCTTGGCATTTGTTTATGTGCTGTTTTCAAAAAGAGTGGTTTAAACCAAACCTCACTTTTCTTAGTGTGCTTTCCTAATGCTCTGAGCAGGAATCAGTCACAAACATGTCTTCCCCAGTGAAGCTGATAATGAAAAATCATAGGGCAAGTTGCTTGCTTGCTTGACCTTGCATCACACTGCAAATTCAGAGCAGATTTGGAATGACTGAACCAACCTTTTCCACTCTTGCTTGCTGTCAGGTATTCAAAACTATGGGAAGGAGAGGACCTGTACCCTAAGGGCTCTGAAAGCAAAGTGAAAATGAGAGTAGACTCTCTCACAGCCAACCTGTGCAATAGTGGAGCTTCTAGTCTTATGGGAAAAATATGAAGTCCTAAATGCCTGGGGCATAGTGAAAAAAATAATTGTAATAGACTAAAACATAAATTTGATCATATGAATTAGATGGTGTTGCAACACTTGAAGTAATTGCAAACTCAGATTACAAGAGGTCAGGTTAGTAAACTGGTAGTTACAGAAACAGCTCTATTGTGCTACTGTATCCTCAGTTTCTACAACTGTCCATTCTGTTCATTTCCCTGAACTAGAAACTGTATCCCACATAAAGCAACAAGCCAGGAAAAAAAAAAATCTTACTTCATTTTTCAGTGACACAGAATAGTCTATCTGCTTGCTCTAAGTGTATGATACCCAGGGTATCATGGGAAAACAAAGTCCTACTAGCTCTTGTCATCCAGCAATTTTTGCCAAAAGCATATTCTTCTGCTGCCAGTATTTGTTTGGGTCACAGATTTTGTATCAGTAACCAGCTCGTTTCAAAACAGAATACTAATCTGGTAGGGTTCCTGCAGTCCTTCCTCCACTAGCAGAGCATCCTTCCTTGGACTACTCTGCTAAAGCTTTAGAGGCAGCTCCTGGTTAGGCAGCCTCCTCCTGGAACCCGGCCCACCTGCCATGGGATCATCAAGTACAAAGCAGAATTGTCACGGCCTCCAGAGTAAGTCAAGAATGTAACCTCAACTATGCCAATGCAGCTATGGCTGGGTGTGGTGAGAGGAAAACCAGTGCTCCTGAGAAAGTAACTTTACGGAATTAAAAAAAAAAAAAAAAAACACACAGTCATCGAAACCAAAATCATGTCCCACTGTTAAGCTCAAGGCTATGAATGGTGTGTTGTTTGTCCTTTCTGTTTTGATCTAGTGGCTAAGGAAAAAAATACCCCAAGGGTGCTTACTGAGCTGGAAAAAAGTAGCTTATTTTACTGCTGTTTAAGTCTCAAGCCACCTGTGCAGGAGTGAGCCCTAGCCAGAGGAACATTACTTTTGGTTTCTCCCCTTGACTCAAACCATCCTGATAGAGCACAGGCACTTGTAGGTCACATTTTTCAGCTCACTGATGAGCTCACACAAGTAGAATTTGGAAAACCACTTGGCCTACAGAATTTTATTTCTATTGAGAAAGAAAACAGAAAACTAAGTGAAAGATCACAGTTCTGTAGGTACCTGAAAGGGACCACATTTGACGTACAAAATCCATGGTATAGCAGCTGTCTTTATACAATGAAACTTGTAATGCTTAGGTAAGTTAGAATTTTTTTTTTCTAAGAGCTTCCAGATACTGAAGTTACAACACACATACTGCCACACAGCAGCTACTTAGATCTGAGCTCTCCTTGTGACGCTTTTGCTCCAAAGCAGTATGAAAAGTGTAAGCTGTCTCAAGCCAGATGGTTGAGCAAGACTAAACTACCACACTGGAGGTTAAATCTGGACCTGTCCTCTCAGCATATTTTCTGAAAGACAGTTTTAAAGATTTTTCTGTGATTAGCTATCTAAAAAGAAGGGGGTGGTGTTTTTGAAACAACATCTGGTCTAAGAAAAGAGGCAATGAACAATTTTGTAATTATATCGGAAACACTTCATCTACAATAATTAGAACATTCATACAGAAATTTAAGTCAGCTTGAAATAATGCACACAATACATTCATTTCAGAACATCCTAAATGCAGTGGTTGGTTGTATTCACTAGCCTTGTTTCCTCTGCAGGATCACATATATCCACTAAGAGGACTGGTACTGCTCTCCACAACACACCAAGGGTATCTGATTGCAGTAATCAGGGTGTAAATCAAGCTTCACCTAGCAGCAGTCTGACGTTCTAAGCCACCTGCGTGCTGACAAAGCCAAGAGGATTTTACTAATGCGCAGTAGCCAAGGCAGCTCCCAGCACCCACTGGCTCCACAGGCAGTGCGGTGCAGGACAGCAGCCAAACGGGAGTCACTGATGAAACAAAGCAAGCTCCACATCTAGCTCTGGGATCAGAACCAGTGCTGGCACAGGAAAGGACTATCTGACCTCACATGCAATAGCATGGAGAGCTTGGGGATCTCATTACATTAATGGGCCTGTGAAGATTGACCACATCTGTGTCGGCCTCATCTACACCATGTGGGTGCATTACAGCCAGGCCCTGTTTAACAAACACCACTACAAGCCCAAACATTATTATTCTAACTAGTACAAAACTTTACTACATCTTACCATGGATTATAATTACATGTGCATACTTTATTCACAGAGTTTAAGATCTAGAATTCCTAAAAAGCACATCACAGAATCTTAGTTCAAGCCTGGGCAATTGCACACATACAGGAATTACAAGGTTTGGAATAAAAGACAAGCAGGTAAGGGAGTTTTCTGGACCAAGAGGCAGGGGTGAAGTGCAGTCAACTTCATTTCAGCTTGCATCCTGGAGCTTTATACAAATTGCAAAGTCAGTTTAGTTACTTAGTTTATTTCTTTATGCTTTTAGAAATGACTATGGCTGGATAGAACAACAAATAGCAGGTGAGGGCAAACTGCTTGTAGTCCTTCACCCATCCACTACTGCATACAAAACAAGCATCACAAGTTATTCACTGGCCCATTTATGATGTCTGGCACTGAACACCACCTCTAGGCTGATGCTCATCATCTTCACACACTTCTCCATTATAGTGGTGTTTTCGCTTTTGAGATGGATCGAAGTCCACTAATTCCACCTGTTCCATTTCCTCAGTTTCTTCTATCTCCTGCCTTGTAGGTAGCAGTTTTTCGAGTAAGGACAGCTTATCTGAGGAAAGGAAGCCACTCTCTGGGAAGATCACCTGAAATTAAGAGCTAAGGTTACTCACGTCTCTCTGAACTGTTTTTTTCATTAGGTCAGATAGACCTACAGGTTAAAGACCTGCCAAAGTCAGGTTTGTTGTCATAGATTACTTAAATTCAGAGCTTAAAAAAATCATCAGCATCATTAAGCTGCTTTTTAATGCCTGCATGAAGTTAGCTTCTAACTCTGGCAACTCAATCAATACCTTTCTTCTGCCTCAGGCTGCACTCTGGAATCAACCACAAAAGCTAAGTATATATGTAATATAATAGCACATACTACTACATATTTATTATAGCATACACAACTACACAAATATATATATGAACAAAATATAGATGTGAGATATGGTTAAATATATTCGAAGCTGTAGCAGATGGGGCCCATTGCTATAGCTCCTAGTACTAGCTTCTCCCCAGAGGAGAAAAATCAGCATTTTCCAACCTTATCTTCTGCTCCCAGGCAGAAGTTGAAATTGCTCATGCATCCTTCCTACAGGACAAAATAAACTAAAGAATATGTCAAGCAAATGGAAATTCAAAAGGTTGCTGAAGAAACTCCTCTGGTACCTAATGTACTTTGAGCACACAGTGTTCCGGAAGTTTTCTCTTTGTTCTGAACTGTAATTCTGATGAGTTGCATATTCCCACCATTGTAAAAAATGCCAAACAGGATATCTGATTATTGGTATCTCTTCTTGACTGAGGTAGTGCTTATTGGTTGAATTTTGGATGGATGTTCAGTCCTGGAATGCTGTGGAAGTGAGATGATTTACTTACCCTGAATTCTATGATCAGACGTCCTTTTTCATATGGTCTGCGATAAATTGGCATACCTTCATTCAACACACACTTAACAGCCCCATGCTCAACAACCTGGCCTAAAAAAAACCAACAAAAAATTACCAAAAAAGGAAGGGAGCTATGCAAGCAACAGAAGCAGCTTCAGTTATAATTCCCTTCAATATTCATGTAGCTTTATATATTGTGGTTAGGCAGCAACACCAACATGTAGTAGTCTAACAGGAACTTACTGCCTGGTAACATTTGAGTAGGAAAGCAGATTGATGTCTACATTACATTCCTGTAAACCTTGTTATGCTTCCCAAAGGAAGCATACTTACAAATTTATTAAGTGCTCCATCTCTTCCAGGGCTGAAAAAGTGGTATTCAGAGACCCACGGCCTTCAATTCTCATGAGATATCCTCAGGATGCAAGTATGTCCATGAGGTAAGGTCTGTTACTACGTCACGCAAAGAGAAAGTTACTGCTGACTGCTATGCAAAAATCCTTTTTTATTTTAAGATTCGTACTGCAAAGACTAGGGCAAAGAATTTGATAACAGCACACATCCCTTCTACATCAAGTATGGGGTGCTTCTCTCCCTTCAGATTTCCAGCTTACATTCACTGTATGCTAGAACTTCCAACAGAAAGCAAACCAACTCTTACCAGGACGGGAGGTAATAATAATAGTTCTGTTATCCAGCGTTGTGATGGGCTTTTGAAAGCCACATAGTGCTTCAACCAGCTGAATATCCATAGACAGAAGTAGATCTTCATCTCGTCTAAGGCAGAACCAATCAACAGTCACAGTGAGAGAGAAGCAGTACAAGGATCATACCCAACTTCAATATTTAAAATCTGGAAATTACACTAAACTGTAACAGAAACCCAGGCAATTAAACAAAGAATACCAAGTACTAATGTAGCTCCTCAATTACTAGAATGACAGCCTCCTCTGAGAGCCATTAAGATTATGTAAAGCTATCTTAAGTGTTGCAAGTGTTTACTGAAAAGAAATAAATATAGTAAGGCCCACTTGCATCCAGTTTCACCTCACTGCTCCTTCCCTATTAAAAACCAAAATTTCTCAGCCTCATAAATACTCAAACTGGGACAATTAATTAATTTCTTTGCATAGATAAATGCCTTCTTAATTGCACTAGCTTGCACTACGGTGGTCTGTTACAACCTGAAGATTTATTACCACAGAAATCTGAACAGGTGAAGGCCACTCTGGATAATGATACAAGTACCAAGAAGTATCTGGAATAGATAATGTTAATTACTTTAATTGTATTCTGACTTCAGTACAGCAACACTAGTAATCGTCTACAGGTTCAAAAGCTACAAAATCCTTCATCTTACTCGAAGGATATAGAGCACTCACTCTGTTTTTAAAACGTCTCTGGCAGGAGACTTGAATGCAAAGCTAATTTTAGACTCTGACAGGAGAGGAGGAACATCCCACTTGTGCGAGAGCATGACCTCACCATAACCCCACAAGACCAGTAATATCAAGGGTTATTGAAGGACACTAGAACTGAAAGCATTGGGCTGAAGGATAGACAAAAATAATCTAATAGAATTGTGACTTCAGGTCCCAGGAAACCATGAGAACAGTTTGGCATATTTGAATCAATGTCTGGTTATACTGGAAGTTAAGAAAAATCAGCTGAGTAAGCTCATCCAAAGCAAACAGAAGTGATTCTTAACCTGTGAGCTCAGTGCTCCCTGGCACAGAATTCTGGCACCAGCTTCAAGAGCTCAGCGCCATATATGATAGTCAGGCAGACCAGCTGCAGGTTTCCCAAGAACCTTTGGCTCACCGTTCCTAGTTACAAGCACAAGGTCAGTGCTAAGTGCTTTCTCTAAACCCACCACTTCCTTTGTGACTCCTCTGAGCAGCATCGAGAAAAAAAATGCAGCACGCTTCTGTGAGATCATCAATGGTACTTTTAACTGGACCAAAATATACTGGACAGAATAATTCCACAAACAGTAACAAAAGAGGGGGGCATGCGACACCAAGCAGTACTGCCTGGGAACACAAGATAGTTGAGCTGTGGTCAGTGCTGCTTGAGTGACTTTTGCTTTCACAATAAAAAGCAGGCAGGACCAATTATCCTGCCCACAGCACCTGGGCAGGAAATGAAGTGCACGCTATACTGAGTAAGTTTGTCTTAAGTAAGATCCACAAACACATGTGTACACACTCCAAGTTTTCTGTGTCTTGAGGCCATGTGGACAACAGTGGACTACATTAAATGGCTATTTTCTGAGCTAAGTAATTGAAAGCAAGGAAACAGTCACAAATATTCAAAACTACTACAAATCTCAGTATTTCTATGACTTCTTAAAATTAAAGATTTGTAAACTCTTAACTACTTTTGCTTGCCTTCTATCCCCTTCTGCTGCCAAAGCTCACAGGAGATTACCTCATGGTATTAAAACACAAGTGGCCAGACTAGTTGCACCAGAACTCACCTCCAGCACTCCTCTGACCACCCAAACTCATGGCTGAGTGACAGTCATGTGATCCTATCTCCTGACACTCCAGTACCTACAAGATGAGTGGCAACCAAGGAAGCATGTGGAAAAACATCACAAGAGATAACGTAAGAGAATTCAAGAGTCTTTACCTTGTAAATACAGAGTGGTCTTTCTGATCCAAGACAATAATAATATCCCCTGGCTCCAGACCTGGCTCTTGGTCCCCTTCACCATGGAATGTTATTTTCTGACCATCCTTCATTCCTATCGCACAAAACAAATAAATATTTTTCTTATTTTTAAGACTTTTATAGGGATGAAGCTGGTATCAAGATATCTCTGGATCTTTAAGCAAGAACATCAGGATCTTCTCTTGAAGCATTTCTTTTTATTTTTTTCTTTTAATCCACTCACTTGTTCAACAGATCTTAGCGGTGCTAACCTGAATTCAGTCTCAAGACCATCAAGTTTAACTGTACTGCCAAAAGAGCCACCAACATAAAGTCCTGAAGGGAAATATCACCAAAACAATTTTCATTATACACACAAATACAAGAAAGAAATCAGAAACACTGTGCACAAACTCTATTTTCAAGAGCCATTGACCAGTCAGCTTCTTCAGTTTCATAAATACGTGGCACATCTCCTTATGAAGCATCATCTCAGCGCCTGCCAAGTCGAAGAAGCATTCCCCACGGACAGAAAACCTCCTGTAAAAAACTTGTTTCACCCACACAAAAAGTCTGTAAAACAAAAATACTAGCTTTCTTATGCTTTATCAGTCTCTTTTGCCTTCCTTCTAGAAAGACACCCTTCTCGTAAGACCTCCCTGTTCAAAATATCAGTAATATAGTCCTCATATTTACTACCACTGTAGGATTCCCCCTACAAATTCAGGCACTGCATAAGCTCTGCTTACAGATGTAACAGCTGCGGGTCGTAATCACGAGTGAGTCTGTAAAAGTCAGGTACTTGTCAGGTTGCTTTGTCTTACAAGCTGCACTACTCCAGAGACTTCTCTCACAGGTTTTTGGGCAGCCCCCTCAACAGAGATGCATTTGTCACTCAATACCACTACGTTCACGTTGCGGGTTTGTGTACTGAGTTGCATTTTGCCAGGCAGGGAAGCAGTACGTGCGCTGGACAGCACTGTCAGCGGTGCGTAGCCAACAAGAGCTCTAAGCTTGAGAGGCTCAGCACTGTCTCTGCACCCTATCATTATAGCAGACCTGGTTCCCCTTCGCACTGAAACACAGTGGAAGTGATCGGAGTCTGCAGGGTTTTGCTGCAGGCAGTGAAAACTGATTAGGCTACCTGATCACAAACTGGGCTTAGAAGAACCTGAAAAATAATTTACTGCTTACAATAAATGCAGGTTTCATTTCAGAATTCATTCTTAGTTATGTGCCAGGCTTTAGAAGTGAACACAGAGCTAGTCCACCTTCCCTAGAAAACAACTCTACTTTTTGTAAGGCAACAATAAGCAATTTTACTATGTATTCAGAACTGTTACTTACCAAATTAACCACATATTTGCTAAAACCTGTGTTTTAGTGCCGCAAAGTCAGTCAGTACATTCAAGTTCAACACTTTACCTCAGTAAGACACCTCACCTTTGTCAATGTGAACTTCCAGGATCTTCTTCTCTCGAACAATTTTTCTGCCATTGCAGCTCTTACACCGGTCCTTGGGGCTGATACGCTCCCCATGCCCCTGACACTCCATACACACAGACTGGATCTGCTGCACCATTCCTGGCCCAATCTGGTGAATTCTGATCTGCATGCCTGTTCCCCTGCAATTAGGGCAGCATTCTACTGCACCTTTTTTACCACCACGACCTGAGAACAAAAATTGGAGATAGGTGGTTATGTGCTACCAGAAAAAAAACCCCAAAAGCTTTACAAACATCATCTCTTTAGTTTCAGTTTCAACATTACCTTCACACTTGTCACAGATAACATTTTTCTGCAGTGCAAGTTTTCTCATTGCACCATTGTACATATCTTCTAAACTTACTGACAACTGGTGGACCACGTTTTTACCTGTAAAAGAACAGATATTTACTCAAGTTTAGAAGCTTGGTCTGCACATCCCCCCGCCAAGCCATGATAAGCCAAGTCTCTGGGCTTAAACATCTTGTTTCAATAGAGCTTTGTCTTGTTTTGCTTGTATTAAGCCCCTTCTCAGCTGCTATGATATTAGATAACAGTTGTTACGACTTTGACTCTGTAAAAGTCAGAAGAGACCTTCGGGAAAAGTACAGACAGTAACAGCAACAGAACATACAGAACCTCATTAGAGAACCTGTAATGCAGGCCTCTGGTTTCAACAAAGTCACCAAACAGATCTCCTACAGACAAGCCAGTGACTCTGTTTGGAATCTCCACTTCAGCACTTTCTTCCTCTCATCACGTGACCATCTGGAACCAGAAATGACCAACTATATTTTTATCCTCAGGAACTCCTTAGCACTTCAGCTGCTATAGGCTTAGCTTTCTAAAGGATGCTGAGCTCTGGGTTGTTACAAGTACTTTGACACTCTTAACACTTTGATACAAAACAGTTTTTCTTCCCTTTTTCACCAGATCTGCACTAAGAGGTGATGGCGTCAGCACTGCTCTTAACAAGATTAAAGTTTCTCCCAGCGTGACTAAACTGGAGCTCAACTTCTGAGTAGCATTTTACTGCAGCTTCAACTTCAGTTGAACAGTGCAGGAACACAGAGAAGTTTCACAGACTGAACTGGATTTTCATGTCTTGTTTAGATAGCTACTTTTAAATACTACACTTAGAGTAGCTTAATTAATAAACTGTTTTAAGTTACTTTACCCTTCCATTTCCTACTCTGTCTACTAGCAGCTGGGCTTACACTCAGCTAAAGGTACTCTGAACGCACCTGGTTAGCGATTAACAGGGCACAGAGCACAGGAGACCAAACTACCACTGCACCAAACGCTCTCCCTTGGGGTTCCAGGCGATAAGAGACAACAGTCTTCTCCAATTTTCAGATTAAGCCTGTAACGTCAGTTTAACTCTCTTTAAATTCCTACATCTACACCATTCTCCTCAGAGAACGCGATACCCACGCGGACACGTTACCTCGCCTCTCCCCCCTCTGCATCCTCCCTCCGCTGAAGAACAAATCGAATATGTCCATGGGTGACCCGAAGCCGCCGCCGGAGCCGCCCTCCTTGATAGCTTGCTCGCCTCCTTTGTCATACAGCTCCCTCTTCTTCGGGTCCGACAGCACTTCGTAAGCTTGCGAGATCTGCTTGAACTGCAGAAAGGACAGTCACCGGCACTCAGGCACCTGCAGGACTCCCGGTGGGACTGCCGCCGGCCCCCTCCCGCCCGGCCCCACCGCCCCGGCCCGTCCCGCCGACCTTCTCGCCCTCATTGGGGTTCTTGTCCGGGTGGTACTTGAGCGCGAGCTTGCGGTAGGCCTTCTTCAGCTCCTCGGCGGACGCGTTGGGCTTCACGCCCAGCACATCGTAGTAGGTGGTCTCCTTCACCATGGCGGCGGCAGCGGCGGCAGGAGGCCCCCGGGGCGGCGGGCGCAGATCGCACTCCGCACTGCTCCGATCCCGACTCTTCTGGAAAGTTCGGGCCGGTCCTGCAGCCCCGCCGCCTAACAGCCGGCCCCACCCCGGAAGTCCTGCCCCGCCGGGCCCGGGAGAGTGACCCACCAATGGCTGTTCGGGAGGGGGAGGCACTTGGCCAATCAGCGCCCGCCTCCGCCTCCAGCATTGAGCGTGGAGTCCGCCCCGCCCGGAGCGGGCGGTGGCGTCCCCGCCCAGCGTTTGCTTCGCCTTGCGCCTGCGCGCTAGGCCTCTCCCGCCCTCGGAGGCACCGAGCTGCGCCGGGTACGGGACGCCGGCCCGGCCGCCGCCTTCCCGGCACTTTCTGCGCCTTTCCTCCCCGCTCCCCACGCGGGCCTGGCCCCCCGCCGCACAGGCCGGCTGGCGGCCCAGCCCGCTCCACTCTACTGCGCTTTTGCGAGGACCCAGTGCCCACTCCCAGGTGCGCGGGCCCAGTGCGCCTGCGCTGCGCAACGCGCCGAGGCGGGTGCCTCTGCCTGGTCACGTGGGAGACGCGCTGCCAGAGCTGATTGGCTGCGGCGGCGGCGGCAAGAACGTCGCGCGCGCGCGGTAAGGGGGAGGGGGATGTCGGTCCCGGCGTTGCCATGGGAACGGGGCCCGCGGTGGGGCATGCCCTGGGGCCCGTGAGGCACTGCCGGGGCTGCGGCGGGCACGGAGCGCGGCTGGCAGCCGGCATGAGCGCTCCGCCGCCGCCCCGCGAGGAGCAGGGCCGAGCACCGGGCAGCGTGAGGGATCTGGGCCGCCCAGGGTCACACTGATGTGAACATGAAGGCTTCACAGCATGGTCCGTGTGCTGGCTGTTGCTGGATGAAGCTATCCCGACTCTCTCGTCATCTCCTGTCTTCTGCTGCTCTCTCTTGTCTTGGTGGTTAAGTTAATCTCTCGAGTGAAGTCTGACTCAGTGGAGCTTTTTTATGGCTAGGCTCTTCTGTCAGATGGAACTGTCAATCCAGTCAAATTTTCCTATATATGGTTCACGGATGTGAGAATGTATGGTAGTGTTGGAAGGAAAACTGGACTGCCCTTTCAACAGCAACCTGCTCTTAGATTATGCAGGTGCTGGTGACGTGCTTTGCTTTGAATTTCAGAAACTTGAACAGAGTTAGCAGAATTGGCTCAGCTACTGGATGGGCTGGCACCAGAATTCATGGATCCTGTTCCACAGGAAGGTAGCCCCTCTGCAAGTGTTGTGTTGGTAACACGCTGTTTATTTTGCTCTGTAGCTCAGTGATGCGTGTGTGCTGGCTCGTGGGCAAAGAAAAATGCACTCAGCGGGTGAAACTGCCACACTTGGAAGCTGTGGTAATTGGGCGTGGCCCAGAGACTGGGATAACGGATAAGAAGTGTTCACGGCAGCAAGGTAATGTGATTTAGTTCAAATCCTGCTTTCCACATGCAGCAGCAGCTGAGCTTGCCTCATTCCTCTACGTGGTCTGCAATGTTGCCTGGTTCCTGAAGTCATCAATCCTTTTTAATAAGCACTTACAGTGATCTCTGGGGCCTAAGAAATCAGAGACACCCAACGACAGGATGTCCACTCCATAAACTAAAGCTTTGAATCTTAATGTGAGTTCCCAGGCCCACATTTGTGTTTCACTGCCTCCATCCCTGCTTTGTGAGCAGCACTTCTTCTCCCTAGTATTCCACCAACTGATTTTTAGCATGACTTGTTATTTTATACATAAAATAACATGATCTTGGAGAATATATGAAAGTACCTGTCACCTATACAATACTGCACATCTTCCCTGCTTTATCTTCTGTGCCTCTGGACACAGTCTTGCTCTGTGCCTTACTGTCCCAGAGGGCTGGTAAGAATGTCAAGAATATGTATGAGACATCAACAGAATGCACCTTTGTTCTGAAGTAATGCTACCCTTAGCTCAGTGTATGGGTTGGCTCTGTTTTACCTGTGGTCCTGGAAAGAAGAGACAAGGCAGAAATATTCTTGGCACACATTCACAAAAATCATCTCCAGAAAGAGACAGCTCTTCAAAAAGAGGAGTGTTTTCTGCAGTGGGTTATTCAGCAGAGTTCTTTTTATTTGCATGGTTTTCTGACACTTTGTTCTTTCTTTTCCAGTTCAGTTAAAAGCAGACTGTAACAAGGGTTATGTCACAGTTAAACAGGTATGTTTTTATGTATGGATCTGCAGTATTTCTGGTACAACTTACTGGGACAGTTGTACTTAACTTCACAAATGCTCCAAATGATGATTCTGATCGCTGAAACTTTCTTATCACCAAGGGAGGTTACAGCAAGTGGCCTTCAGAAGTGAACGGTCTTCTTGGTGTGCCTCAATGAAAGGCTGCACTATTCTTTCCAGATACATTCCAGTCTAAGACAGCCAGGCTTGCAGCATCAGGGAATGCTGTTGTGAGTCCTCAGTCAGTTCTGTTGGGTGCTGCATTTGAGAGACTTTGGACTTCTTTACTAAACTTGTTTATCTTTCTCCTGAGCCTTAAACTTCGTAAGCTGAGGCAGCCCTTTGTTTAAGGTTGAAGTTCTTGTGTTAATGGGTCTACTCAGTAGCAGAAGATTTTTGTGGTGAGCTGATAGAGGCAGAGATGTAGTTACTTGTGGGAAGAGATGGGCTGTCAGACAGGACTGCAGGAATGCTCATGTCACCAGATGGATGGAGGCAGGTCTACTCCCTCACACTTACGAGACCCAGTATCTCTGAGATAATAAGAATAAAAAGGTGTTTGATGCTGGTGATGCGTGTGTGCCCACAGCATCAGCCTGCGAGGACAATACAACAAACAACATGTTCTACATGCCGAGGGGGAACGTCTTCTCCCAAAATGCCTCCACAGCCCACTAAGCACAGGCACCCCAGGGGTATCTGATGACTCTGGCAGAGATATCTAGGACGTTTTTTGTCAGAAATCTACCCTAGTCATGATTTGAATATTGTGTTACTGGAATCTCAAAACTGGGAATACTTTCCGGTGGTGGGTGCCTGTTCTCTGCCTGTTGAAGAGTTGCTCCCCAGGTGAGAGGTGTGTGGCACAAAGTTCCAGTGATCAGTTGTTTGATACTTTATTCGCTGATGGGAAGCATCCTTGACCTGAGTGAAACTGCAGAGCTGTAAACTAAAGAGATCCTGGCTGGAATCAGGTGTGTGCTTCTTTGCAGTGAGTACCAAGTGAGAGGTGTAGTACTGCCTAGTGAAGCATGCAGGTATGGCAGTGACAAAGCTAACGAAAACTCTCTCTGATTGAGTTCATCAGTCAGGAGCGAGCCGATTTCCTAAAGCCCATTTTGTGCAGAAACATTAACCAAAAGCATTTTGCTGAAGACTCCTAATTTTTGTAGGGTCACCCACATGATGATGTGAAATCCATTTATCAAGCAACCACTGTGGGTTGCCTACATCACATGATTGCACTGAAATAATTTGCTGAACCTACTGTTACTCCTCAGAAACAGTTGCTGCTGTTACTAGTTGTTTAATAGGTTCTAATTTGTGAGGGAAGTGCAGCGCAAGTGGTAATGTAACTGTGTAACTGCTGCAGACCCAGGCTCCCTGTGGCACCAGGCCCTGAGGTTGTGTGGTGACAGCTGTGACTGCAAGGCTGGGACACAAAGAGATGCCCACAGTGCTGCACTGCCTGGTCTGCTAGAGTGGGTTGATGTGGACAGGGTGGGCAGTGAATACAAAATGCATTTGCTTTCCAGGATAATGGTATTCCACGAGAACTGAGCAGAAGTTAGCAATTACACTTACAACATAATTTTCTACTACTTTTTCCTTTTTCTGTCTACCAAAGATAGGGGTCAACCCAACTAGTGTTGATCTTATGAATATTGGCAAGGATGAAGTGGTGAAAATGAAGCCAGGCCAAGTTCTGCATATTGTAAATAACCTTTACCCCTACACGGTGCAATTTGCTGAAGAGTCTGAGAAAACTGTTCCAAAAGCAGATAAGATTCCACATGAAGGCTCCTGTGAGAATGATGATACAGAGCTTGTGCCCAGAAAAACCATGAAGTTGGAGGTGGTGGATACAAAAGGCAGTTCTACAAATCCAAAGTTAAGCAATACCAGTGTATCTACACACGAAGGCACTTCGAGCAAAAAGGCAAGAGTGTTGGTATTAATACTTGTGCTGTTTCTCCTGGGGTTGTCTCCTCCATGAGGAGACATGGTCTTTTGCTTTTGTGGATTCTGCTGGTGGCAGGCATCTCAGGTGAGCACAGATCCTCAAAGTATACAGAGCACGAGAGGTGTTATATGCTCCTGACATCACCCAGACCCTGTGAAAGTTACTTGGGACCCATTACTTCTAACATGACCTGAGGGTTAGGTGTGTGTGAGGGTGAGCAAATGAGGATTTAATCTCTGGTTTCAGCTGCAGTTGCTACTAGAAGGACGGTCCATGTGAGCTCCATTTAGCTGCAGTCACCCAAGGACGCGTCCTGGCTCTTGAGTGGTTATCTAAAAGCAAGTGCACAGAGAACAGAACAACCTGACCCTTTTCGTCTTAAAATCTGTTTGTTTGTAATTGCATGAGGCTTTTTTTCCTCCTCCTGCTTTGTTCATTCCATATGGCAGAACCATGTTAACATTAGTGAATGTTAGCAGCCAGAATATTTGAAAGGGACTTTTTAGCCCTGTGACAAGGACAAAGTAAAAGACCTTAATGCATTTGGAACTAGTGCAGTGCTGGAGGAGAAGGCACAGAAATGAAACCCCTTAAGACAAAATTTTATTCTCAGGTTGCTGTAAGTTAACCACTTACTTAATTTGTGGACTTGGGCTAGTTATATTAGCTAGTTATATTGTACTTGGGCCAGATTTGTGGTGGAATAAGCAGGGAGATGACAATTCACACTGTTTCCCTGCCAGCACTGTAATAATGTTTGAACATCTTCCTTTGTAAGAATATGATGAATATCATTACTGCTTTCAATAGTTAAAACATCTGTTTTGAAAAGGGTGCA